GAGTCAAAAATCAATTCTTAGTTCCCTCTTAGCCTCTCATTCGGCACAAATTTAATCCAATTAGTCAACCTTGACCTTGTCGGTCTAAATAACTCATCGGCGTTTCCTTGATAAGCCCTCCTCCCTCTGATACAAGGGATGGCACTGTCCTAGCGTCTGGCTTCTTGCTACACGAAGTAGCCAACCGAATCACGAGATGCCTCATTACGATCAAAAGTTTAGTTAGAAGAAGTGGGAATAAATTAAGCCAGACACCTTTGTTGGTATAGTGCTTTTTGTCGAGCTTACTTCCATTTCGAACGAGTCAAGAAAACTCGTTAGCTTGAATTTTGTTGTGACGATGATACCTCACTCTGATGATATTCGTCATATGACGGATGATAGCTTAACACTTTTTCACCGGAATCGAAGGAGAATACCTGGGAAACAGCATCAGCATAAATCTTCCAGTAAAGCCAATCGACAAATGGTCAAAAGGAATCCGCCATCGCCTTCTGGTGGAACCGACCTTCGAATCTCTTCACCCAACACTTTTATTCGAAATGGAAGTAAGCCCAACAATTATGGAACGAGAGATTCCTCGAAACCCAACTTTTCGATAAATTTTCGAAAATGATGGTTTGGGGTTGACGATTCACTACATATAATGAACTAAATCTCAGCAGAGATTGATCATTCTTCTTCGCACAGTCCAGAAATTATAAGTCCGAGAATAGCCCCTTTGGGAGTCCAGTAAATCTAATTTACAAACCACCATTCTAAGCGAAATTAAAGGAAGGCCAGACTTAATCTTCCCCCTGCCTTTGCCACTATACCTTATTTCCAAAAGCCCAGTGGCCATTCATTAGACAGCCTGCAATTTCCACCTCATCCGAGGATAACCCTCGCCCCCAAAAAGCGTGGGTCATAGCGAATGACTTAAAAGGAGAGCAATATACAGTTTCCAGTCAGTAGCGTCCTGAACTATCTACTATAGCTATGGCTATGTAGATTCAACAGCGCTCAGTTATTAACAGTGTAATGTTCAATGTGCCTTCCTCAACTCACACGCACCGTGCGGATGAACAAGGCAAGTCTGTCATTAAATTCGGCTGTTTCAGAATGACAGCTTCAGGTAGATAAGCTATCAGTAAGACTATTCTTCTGGCCTTCGGCTTCGCCTCAGCTTTGATTTGAAATCGCCTTAAACCCAACTACGTTTAAGTTGACGATGATGGGCAAGCATGTGGCGTCGGACGCAAAGGCGCACTCCCAGCACACGAGACAAATATTCATAGTAAGGTTATCAGTATTTCCGGTGTAAGAATTCTAGCAGCCCACATTGGATGAGGATCGAATTCAATTGAACGGTGAGACGTACCAATATAATTATGAAAAAAATTTAAGCATCAGTTCTTCCTCACCTAGACTGACTATAATTCTTATATGAAATAAAGTCTGCGAATCTTGGCTCGGCCTATAAATGTTCTTGTGGCACGTTTTTTAGCCAACAATACCTCTCAATCGGCTTGACAGTTTACTTTTAATATTTGTTTATTTAAATTGGCCTAAGTATTAGCCAATCCTATCGATCTAACTCATTTTTAATTATCATTTATGGGTTCGTCAATAATTTTCTGGATTATGCAATAAACCGATTACATTTGGTTTATCAATATGCCATGTCAACAAAATATTTACATATTTCCATTTGTGATGCATGGGAAAGACGCAGTTCATAAAAAAGGAAAGAAGAGGGAACGGGGAAATAAAAAAGCAGGAAACTAATCAGGTAAGTTCACAAATTAGGGGTTAAGCAGATACGGATTTGGCCAAGCGTGGAAGGTTAAGGATATAAGAACTGAGAAATGCTTGCATATATATAACTATATATGTGCAAATTATTTAAAAAGTGGCGCTGCTAGTCTTTCCTGCTTCTGTAGAGCCGTTAGAAGAGTTCCGAGCGGAATGGCGCCGCAGTTCGGCTGAAGACGAAACCGTGTGCTCGGGTCCAGAATGGTTTATGGTAGAAACCAGAAGAGAAACTGGGGTCGACTGACCAGCTGCTGTCACACATGCCTCACCATTATCTTGTGTGGCGCCAGCCGTAACTGAAGTAGATGATGAGGCCAAGGACTGGCGACTTGAGTGACATTTAATTATAGGAGAAGTAGCAGAAGCAGAGTGAGAGTAAGAGACGACAGAAGAGGGGGAGCAGGAGGAGTAAGAAGAGGAAGTGTGTCGTTTCTGGGCCTTTGGAGTAGGAAGTCTGGAGGGCCGACGCCGAAGCCGGTTGTTGGTGATGCTAGTCCCGGTACTATCAGTTAGCTTAGTTCTGCCAGAGTCAGATAATACGATACCACCACCTACACGGCATCCTTTGAATGAGGCTGCCCGAGATACTGAAACAGAGGCACCATTTTGGTGGGAGAGGGGTTTCGTATTTGAGACGCCTGCAACAGTCAATGCAGGCAGCCTTGTGGCGCCAGAAACGGCAATAGCCGAGGATGCAGTAACAGAGCCGAGCAGCTGTCTATATGAAGTGTTTCCTGTAGAAGAGATACATGAAGGATTAAGGACAACTGGTTGAATGGGCGAATGTCGAGGTGGCGGTGGCGGAGGAGGCGGAATAGGAAGGTGCGAGGGCGGATGTCGAATACGGGACTGTGCTTTTGCAACCAAGCGGCGCAACATTCCGTGACGTTGGAGTGCAAGCAAAAAAGTACGAATGAATGGCATGTAATCGTGAACCCTTCGGGCGTCATCCACTCTATAGACTCGACGTTTTTCCTCCTCTTCACGCAGCGCCTCGTGACAAGCACGAATTTGCTCTGAGACGCGTGACAATAACTGTTCCAGCTCACCAGCGGTGAAACATGCAGTTAGCAGCGGTGGTGCTAAATGGTTCTGCTGCACCTTTTGCTGTTTTCGAACTTGTGGAAATTTCCGTTTTCCATTGACAGAGGATATTGCAGCAGACTCCTCTTCTCCAGAGTTTCCTGTGCTACCAGAAAGGCCGGATCCAACGAGCTCAATCCCTTGAGACCAACCTCGATTGCAGCTGCAGCTACACACACATTCAAAGTTAGGAGAGCAGTCTGAAAAGTTGATGGACGTATGAATTCGAGCGGACGAAAGCAGGGCACTTGAGGGAGCAATTGTTGTTCCGGAATGCGAAACAGCCTCACCAGTCTCCAAAGACTGTCTATTGGATGGGCCATGGTTATTGACAAGTCCATTCTGATTATGCTTGATACAAGAAAAACTGCCAATTTGGCCCATTGGAGGGATGCCATTAAGACAAGGACCTGACGATAGCAGATTGGATCGCGTATTTGCCAAACTATGAGAAGCCAATGTATCTCGGCGAGTAGAGGAGCGTGTAGGATATTTAGAGGCATGTGGAGAAAAACAGTTGAGACTGGATACGATTGCTGAATATAGGCGTGTGCAAATATAGAGATGAGCCAATATTAAGATATGAAAAACAGGAAAAAAACAATTTAAACTAAGTTTAACTTTTAAGAAATTATGATGCGAAAGTTGCCATTTTACAAAAGGCTGCCAAAAGGTTGCCACCTAGGAAACAAGCTGTTCTGTATTAGGTACCGTAGGATCTCAGAGTTCAC